GCATGCATAAAGAATTAATTACCTTCGAGCTGCAACGAGCTGCAAGAAAAAGAGATATCGTTAAAACACTGCAGTATGGAAAAAGATGGGGAGTGCCAGAGCTAAAAGATGAGAGGAAGCTGAAAGTATAACTGTCCCAGAATCATCCTTTATTTTTACCGTACAGATGGTACACACACACACACACACACAACAATGCAATACAGTACAAATGAAATGAAAATGACCTTTATGAAGCAGCAAATGCTGCATGTTTGTTCAGATTGTGTCCGGGTCTTTTACTCTTGGTACTTACAGTGTATTTACTGAAATGTCGATTAATCTGACACGTTGAAATGACAGCAGTGGTATTGCTTTATCTTACGTGTCTTCTTTTATGAGCTACCTGATCCAAATACTGAAGCGCCCGGTTCTAAACTATTACATTTATGAGCTTAAATTATTAATATGATATGAATGAAAATTTAACTGGGCAAATGCAACTCCTGTAATTGATGTAACGCAAGCCGCTCGAGAGCAGACGTCCATTGCATTTGTTGGAACTCCAGAAACACTCGGTCTACTTGGTTTTCTGCGGCCAGAAGTTACACGAGAGGGTTATGTACAACCCAACGCTGAAGGCTTTTTGTAGAAAATGTTACAATTAACTATCATCAACTGAAAACACACAGTGAAAGGGATCTTGTAGGTCTGTATTGTGACGGTTCTGTACTGTATGATGTGAAACACTGATTCCTCGGTCAAACTTTTGAATGAAATGTCATGCCGTGTCACAACTGCAGTTCTCAGTCTATGAATGGCTAGAGCATCACCGACCCCACACCGTAATAAAACAATTCTGTCAGCTTCTGACCTTGACGGAAACAGCTTTGATGTCAGGCTCTGCCCACTAGCATTGTCATTGTGTTTAAGGATTTGTCATTGGGGATGTTACGCTGCGTCACAGTGGAAACTGTGTTTGTGGCTGTGTTGGGGGGTGTGGTGAGGTGACATAGTAGCCGAGGCTCTATAACACACAAGCATTTGAGCCACAGTACGACCATGTGCAACTGTACAAATGCACTCGTGCACGTTTATACACACTCTGAAATGGTCCGCCGACTTTTGTTTCTTTAAAAGGTGAAATTGAAAAGCTGATGTTTTGTGGCGCTGACAGTCTTTTAAATTCCTCCTTGCCCTTTTCTCTCTGCAACCGTGTTGACCAGTGTTGGGAGCAAGTACTTTATGAGCCAACCATAATGTAAGAGCCAGAGACATTGTACTGTCTGCTTAACTGCCTCTTGGCTGCATATTTCTGCATGTTCTTCACTCGCATGTTATCAGTAATAAAACAGGCCAGAAGCAACAACACTTTTTCATGGTGCCCACAAACTTCAACATTAATATTAACACCCACAAGCTTATACAACCATGAATACAATTACAGAGACACCCACACACACACACTCACACACACGAAAAAAAGCAACGGCCTAAAACACATTCATTGAACAGCTTTTGAAATGCACATACAGTTGAATGTGACCTTTTTGGCTCTCCATACAACACATGCAGACATATGTGCACATGCAGCATCACTATAAGCATGTGGATGGCTGCTGTACATGGATGCACCTACATACAAACAATGTACAGACATGTATGTTTCACTCACATATTGTCTTTCCAATAGCATTGTCACCCACTCCTCAAATCCGATGTTTCCCTCCACCCTGAAATTTTGACCACAGCCTTTCCCTGTTGAAAAAATGTGAAAGAAAAGGATTGGAGATCTCTGTGAGCTCCATGTCTCCAGGGAACATACACACACACACACATACAGATACTGGCCTTCAGGCTCAACAATGCAATTAAACCTCAGAGGGGCTCTCCAGTCTTACAAGGATGCTACACATGGAAGGAGGCAGGGCCAGAAAGACAAGAGTGCTAACCCTTCTTCATGTGACCGCTGGTCAATTCCTCACTGTCCCAGTGATTCATAGTTGCAGATACCGTTGGTCGTCTCAGCTTTTCTATCAGGGCAACGCTAGGGAGAGACCTCAGCTGAGGCACGAAAGCCATCTTCAATAACTGCTGACAGCTACCAAAACACCAACTCTAAATTTAACATAAGGGATTGTCTCCTAATTGTGTTGTTTGTTTTGTTTGTTTGGAACAATAATAGTAGCACACTGCTATTCAGTCTCTCTTCTCTCCGTCTCCAGCCTAGCGGACGTATGCATCCAGACTGGCTTGCTGTGATAATGTGAGCGATAAATTGTTCTGAAAGGCCACAGAGGATTTAAATAGAAGGCTGACTGTAGTCTGGCACGTCTGTTAGACTTTCTTTGGTGTAAATTTGTTAAAAGAAAGAAAAGATTTCCGTGTGATTTATTGAGTTGAGGTGGCAATTCTCATGCCTCCATAAACTGCTGCTTTTACAGTGAGCGCCAGGGGAGAGAGAAGAAAACAATTAGGGATGGATGAAAAGGAAAACCTCTACCTCATTTTTAACAGCATTATCAATTTGAAGTCGTCTCTATTTCAGTTAATTTGAATGTAGGGGCGAGGAAGAAGGGAGCAAGATAAGGAGGCTGGGGGGGGCATCATTTCAAGGAGACTTTAGTAACATGAATGTTACTAAACATTTCCTCAACTGGCACTTGGCCTCTGCATTGGAGACATTGGTGTTTTACTGCAGTGCCTTTACCAGAGAGGTTGACATAAATCTCACCAGCAGGGAATCAGTAGAAAACACAACAGGGGCCGGCTCCCTGACGGTCCTTCAGTGCCCTGCTGACGTATCAGTAACATGATGACGGTGCATTGTTTGCACAGTAAAATGCCAAAGCCTCTTCCGCAAGGTGTTTTGATTTGTCTCATCATTGCAGTAACAGCCTTATTAACGAGTTATTGGTCCCCGTGAGTCAAACACATCGTTTATTATCGCCATGAAAAGATTTCGTTGAGTTAAACACTATATATTTATAACTCTACATCTTTTAACAGAGCATAAACATGTTTGTTATTATAAAGATAGCTGTCATAGTGACACACTTGATGCCATGTGTTATGATAACACTCTGACACATATCTTACAATATGAGTATACAACACTAGGGCTGTTTTTATTGAGTTGAAACCTCTCCATCTGTGCATTAAGCTGTTCTATACTGTTAGCACTTGGAATGTGAAAATGAACTACCCTCCGATGACATTATTTACAGTATTTACACTGTAAACCATATATTAATGTTGGAATCATCAGCAATAATATACCTCTCCAGTAGATGGATACAGGAATACTAAATGCATCACTGTGCTGCAGTGTAAAATCATTTGTAAATGAGTAACACATTACATTACTCATGTTGATAACAGTTATTAGTTTGATCTCAGATTCAGATTTAATATAAGGGGTCAAATTCTGTAGAAGTGTCAAGTTGGATTTCTGTACGGGCTTAAGGAAGTTAAGAGGTATAATCACTGACATCGCTAAAGATAACTGGGACACTAGTGTGACGGTCTAATGCTCCGTGATTGGGGCAAAGCCTGTGAGAGTCTTGTGCAAAAGCTGGTGCAAATCCCTTTGTTTGTTTGTGTTTAGCAGACGGCTTCATGTAAACTCTGACCTCCGTACAAATGTCATAGCGTAGCAGTAAAAGCATGCAGGGAAGACACAATTAAAAATATACATAAATATAAATGTGTATTGTTTGCTTATGTTTATTTTAAAAGGATAATATCAGCCAATATACCGTAGATTTTTTGAACGTCCCATATCGATATCTGTATTGGCCTCAAAAATGTGTCTAGCTATGGTTCACATTCATATCTTTGGAAACCCCTACCTTGGTAACGCTGGAGAGTTGAGGTTCCTGAACAAGATTGCTGGACTGATGAGAGGAAGGATCTTGAATGTGACAACAGAAGTTCGGTTGGAAGATGATCATATCTCTGGAATAAGGGAGGAAAATCAATCTTTGGAATTATTGTGTAAATTATGTTGGAGATATTCAGAGAGCTCTGAATGGGGACATGCGATAGTTAGCTTCTTTGAGGATCAGGAGGAGAATCCCTACAATCCCTAGATGGTGTTGATAACTGATGATGATGATTAAGATGATCACAATGAAGACAAATACGAGGAGGAAAATGACGACGATGAAGATTCTTGCCATTGCTCTGCAGGATTTAGTTCTTCGCCTGCGCTGAATGTTGAAAGCAAATATGTCTGTTGGTACCATCTGGTACCTTATGGTATGTTAAGGGATTAGTCACGCTGAACATAAACTGTCTCAGGGAATTTCCGTTGTCATTTCAACACTAACACAGCCTTCCAACTGGGAGTCCTGGGCTATTTTCCATCTGCGTGCATTTCCTCTTCAGGAGCAGATTTCCGATGTCCCTTCATCCTCAACCTGGCACTTCGAATGTCAGCACTTTTAATGCATAGACAATTTCATTGGGTGTTACAGATGCTGCACCGTCACCTCACACGTGTGTCCGCACACACACACACACACACACACACACACTAGAGTTAAATTGCTAAATATCTACTATATCCTTTGTTTTCATACTGAAAGTGTTGCTTTATAAATGAAAAAGAAAAAAAAACTACCACTCATTTTCTCCACACACCATTGCTTCATAGAATTTCCAGATTCACGGTACAGAAGAAGAAGAGAACTGTCCCTCTCCTTGTATTAAGGATTGTTTTATGAATACCATCTCTTTCGACTTCAATTAAGGATGCAAAATCCAATGGCGATTTGATTCAAAGTCAGTCAAAGATTTAATGGATTCCTTTTAGCTCCCAACAAATTGCCTTTTTAGAGGGAAGAACATTTGCATTATTCATTTGTGAAAGAGCAAGTTCATTTGGTTAGTTCTAGATGAGCTCAGAAACCAACAGTGGGAATTCGAATGGCTCTTCACGGAGGAGGATGAGACACTCTCTGTGTGAGATGAATCTCATCTGACCCCTGACCTCTTGTCTTGCTGTCTTGGCTGCGTAGGTGATCCAGCGCAGGGAGGACGGCTCGGTCAACTTCTTCAGAGCATGGGAGTCCTATCGCGAGGGATTCGGCAAGATCACTGGTGAACACTGGCTCGGTAAGTGTCTCAGCTGTGAGACTGTGTCTGTGCGTGTGTTTGGCAATGTATGACTCATATATAGTATGTGTAATGTGACCTGCCAGGGCAGACCAAACCCTGGAAAGCAGATTTTTACACGGTGTTATCAACTTTGGTCTATTCGCTGTAGATAGAGCTTGACTGGACTTGATAAAACAGTAACACTTCATGATAATCATCATGAATATATTGTAAATTAATAGTTAACGGAAGAGTGTGAAGGAGATCTCTTGGTGCATGATATCGTCTTATTCCAAGACGGGATATCGTCAGGATATCGTCTGAAGTACAGCACGCAGACTGCAAACAGAAAAAATAAAGAAACTCACTCTGACAGTGAAATAGCGACAGTAGTCATGGCGAATGATGGAGAAAAATTAGAGACACCCAAAGAGTGGCAGACAGAGACATTGGATGACATCGGCTCTTCATATCATCAAGAATTCAGTAATGAAAACCACTTCAGTGACATCGACAAACATTATTGCAGCAAATCAAAATGTGTGTGTAAAGTGCTCTTCATGAGAGGAGTCTGTTCAGCATCACAATATCACAACACAAGCCAAAAGACCAGCGATTCAATTACAATCTTTTTTTTTTAATTTTCGCATGACAAACACAACAACAGTATCATTTATTTATTTATTTTTGCAAACCTCACAGCTTTTCAACAGTCGCCTTCTGCTTATAATTTGCATTTTTCAGAGTGTGCTTGTCCAAATCCTTTTATTTCTTGCTGGCAGCATGACACATTAGTCCATGCCTCCTCTCAAATTTGACAGGAAAAGAATGCCAACGCAGAAATGAATTCGAGTGTGAAATTATCAACTTTTCCAAAGCCAAATTCCTCTTCTTCACACCACTTCTCATTAAATAGACTCAAATAGTTCTCGTCTTGGGCGGCGGCTCCATCATGTCCATTCTAGTGGCTCAAAGTTATCTGCTTAGACCTTCATATGATATGTTGTATTTGTGTTTTTTCTAAAAACATTCATACTCCAACATGTTTTGTAAAAAAAAAAATCATACCGTGTAGAAATAGACAACCAGTACTTTCCATCGTAGACTGGCCTTTGCAGCTCCTTTTTAATTGGACTGACATTTGTTCAAGAAGCGGCAGAGAATGATGAGACGGAGTCTAAAACCATGTTTCTCTCACATCAGGTGTTGAGTATGAAAATTGACTACCAATGAAGCTCATATGCAGACGAAAACAAGACCTGTGACTTAATTAGAAACAACTGCATCTGAGGAGCGTGACCCTGTGGGAACATATAATCACACAATCAACATCTCTCTGGGTCTCTATGGCTGCATAATCTCAGCCATTATCCCTGTATACACAAACATCCTCAATGCGTCGTTGTTGTTTTGTGTTTAACACTCAGTCAGTTGAGACACCACACTTACCTTCAGTGTACAAATATAAGCTGGACTGGGAAAAGCAAACCAGCGAGAATCTTGAAAGGAGAAGGTTAGAGAGCTTTGTTATATATAATGAGATAGATTTAGGCTGACTTGTACTTGGATGCGGCATTTCTGAACCATGAGCCACCATTCAAGCACACTCTTTTAGTCCCGATCCCAGAACCTCCAGGGCTACCACTCTCCCACTTAACACGTCGTGCACACTGTGACTGCACTGTGATTCATGCCGAAAACAGTGACATTGTGACGGTGACAACACAGTGAAATTGTGACGGTGACAACACTCGGAAGCTGGCCAGATGCCCACCGGGGATTCATCACATCACACAAAGTTGATGTGAAAACAACTTAGCCTACAAAACGTCATCATTAAACAAGACAGTTCATTGCCCAATCAGCATCCATGGGGAAAATACTGGGATAGTAAGCTGCTTCCATAATCTTATGAGTGCATTAGTGATCGGCAAATCTGGTCCGCTTACAAAAAAAAACTCCGGTCCCAAAAGCGCTAAGCATTTGCAGAAATGTAGTTTCCTGAGGAAATGTGGGTTGAGCAGCAGTGTTAATGAGATATCACCATGTCTGTGTGTGTCTTTAAAAACCTTTCATCGCAGTGTGCATAAGCTCAGGCGGGTGGAGTAAGTGGAGCTTGAAGAAGTCTATTTCTGTAAAAAACATGAGCTTGTCATGGTCAAGGTTATGGACGTGCGTGCCATACCACAGCGGAGATACTCTCCCATCAGCACTCTAGATTAGGCAGTGGCGTATTACGTTTGTAAAGTATGTCTAACTAAAATGCAGGGGTTTTATTGGCAAAAGTACACATACATTGCATGCAAGAATTGAGATTAAATCACATAAATGTATAAATATAAATATATAAAATTAAATATATTGAATTAAATGTAAATATAGACAATATTTCCATTACTTCCCGTCATCTATCATCATCATCAACACAGTTTCCTCCGGGTACTGGACTGTCCATGTCGTGTAAATGAATGATGTTCATCACTTTCATTCGAATCAAACCAAGAATCTGTTTTGTTAAGCCGATCTTAGAAATTAAAAAATAAGGAAACATGCAATGTAATTATACATATATGCTTTTTAGATGGCGATGCATAATTGTATAATGATTGTATAATATTAGGTGGGCCTGCACAGTTCTGGGTTCTTCGCCACCTTCACCACTCTGTGTCCTGGCTATAGGACATATGATATAGGAATACTTGCATGTACTGTATAACGCTTGCAGAGGTTATGTGAATTAATGGACATCTAGGTCTCTTTGCTGACCCGAGGCCATCACAGAGTGCACCCATAATAAAAGACGTGGTTAGAGTGCCAGCTAGATCTCCCTGTGGTACGCTGTAGGAAAATGGTGTGAATATGGAAAGCTCAGGACTTAGCAGACTGCATTTCAATGAGCCAGCAGGCTACTTTGAACCTTTCAGAGTACCCTTGCTCATTCAAGGTGTGCTGTTGTCTCGTCACCCCCGTCATCGATTACCCTCAGGGCAAAAATGAGAAATGGATCCATGCTTGCCTGCAGCCTACAGAAAGAAATTCATTGCAATTACCTCCACCAGACAAATATTGCTCACTAATGCCACCCGCCACCTCTGAAGATCTTCACCCATCTCATTATCTTAATATGCAGCTGGATTCTGGATTTCATTTCAGATTTTTTCCTCATGTAATGAACTTCTAATAGTGTGATGATAGTGGCAATGAAAGTCATCCGAAGAAGAGCGGTGGGGAGAAAATTAAGAATAACAGAGCAGTCGAGAGTTAACAAAATCATACATCATGTGTTTTTTTTTTATTAGTATTAGTTTTTGTATGCAGGATGACACAATCACACTTTCACAAATTTCTAGCGCATTTGGTACCACATGCAAATGATATAAACTCAATTTAGCATCCCTTTTGTCTGTTTTTATCCGTTCCTTTGGCGGTTTGGCAGCTTAGGTGTTAATTAGTTGGGATGCCTGAAGATTTCACTCGGGGTGTCAAGAGTAACCGCCGTAATATTTGATTTAAGACAGCTGAAAGCTGCCGTTTCATGATGAAGTTATAGTTTTATAGTGAGTCATATAATGATTTGGTCTTACATGCGGTGGATTGCTTGCATGGACGTTAAGCAAAGACTCTTTGATATCGTACCTTTTTTATCTTTTCTTTTCTTTTTTATATTGAAGGAAATCATGGATCTGCAGTTATTTGGCTAAAGTGTATGTCGGGCATGCAGACAGCAAATATAATTTGGATCCTCTATGGCTCAGATATAATTCACCATGCTGTGTGTTTAACTGTAAACACTAACATATTGCCGAATAATTCCTCCCCAAAGCCCGTGTATAAAGAGCATAAAACTGGGTCAAGGCAATTCCATTGCTGCCGTCAAATCTATTACACACCTGGTCTCGCAGGCTGATGTAGACGTGTCTACCTGTAATGTAGGTCCTGAAACAGTTTAATGCTGTCCCAAAGAGACTAACCTAGTTTTCCAAATGGCCTATTACAATACCATACTTCGGTCTGTTTAGTGTTGAAAGCGGCACTTAAATCCATCAGAAAGAGGATAGACAAATTGTTTATTGTCATAATCATGTCCCCTCTCCTCGCTGCGAGTCCATTTACTGCAGCTATAATTCATACTTGCGTACACTTGCGTAAACAACATATTACAACAAAAACCCGAAGCTGTCACTGTGTTCTGTAGAATTATGGAATATCAGTCTAAAGTTGACACAACCAATTCCCTGTGACATTTTGTCCTTTTCTTCTGGTGAAACCTGTCGTCGGGGGAGTGACATTCAGAAGAAATGTTTCCAACGTGATCGGGAGGCTATTCGTCAAAAAGTTTGGTTGTTAGTGTGGTTGTCATTTCAGCTCACACTGTTGGGTGTATGACGTTATATAACGGTAGGAAAACCTCTGACATAGCATGTTTGAATTTACAGTTGGATATTAGTTCAACATCTATATGCCAGTGATGCATTCAACTAAAACAAAAAGGTTTCGAGTCAGTATTATCTTATTATATTCATTCTGAGTCAAAGGTTTGTTTTGGTTTTGACAAACAGAAACACTTGGCATTCTTGAGCAGTACTCAATTTTATCAATCAGTGGAGCATTAACAGCGTAATCAATACCTCTAAATGGAATTCTAGTTTTTTTTGGTAGCTCCGAGTAATAGGAATTAATATTAAATTGCTGTCATACCAACTGCAGAATTGGAATCCTGTCATCCGTTTATTTATTTACAATAGAGGGCAAAATGCCATCTTTGTCATACTGCAGTCATTTTGCCGTGAACTTTTTTTTTCTTTAATCAATACACAAGTACAATAGTTATGTGGATAATCTAACGGAGAAAACCCTGAACTTAGAGGTGAAGTCAAGATTCTCTTTTACTTTTTGAAAACACAGACACTGTAATTTTAGGGAGGAAAACTGCTGATCCCTTGTTATTATTCTGACACTATATCCGTCACACGGGGATTTTTGCAGATGGCACAGTTTGAGGAGCAACCGTCCTCTGA